ATTAGAAATAGAAGACCTAAAAAACATTAGATCTTTTCAACAGATAATTTGACAAAAATCTATAATCATTCATAATAGAAGCTCTGAAGAAACATGTAATAGAAGGCAACTTCCTCACCAGGTAAAGGGCATCTGTAGAAAACCCACAGCTGACAGGGTACTGTTGAGAGGGAGTATGCTATCCCCTGAGACCAGGTGCATGGCAGGGCACCCACAGTCCACAGCCCCTCTCCAGTCCCACATCCACTGGGGGCTCCAGCCAGCGCAGGGAGGCCAGAGAAGGAAGTGACAGGCACATAGATTGGGTGAGAATGAGTGTAGTGTCTTTATCATAGATGGTATGCCCTTGTGTGCAGAAAATCATAAGGGATCTTTAAGAATACTAGTAGGAATCAAACAAGGCTGGTAAGGTTACAGGATGCAATATCCATATACAAAAGTCAGTTGTAATTCTGCATATGATAAACAGTCCAAAATTGAGGTTAGTCAATTGGTCATAACTGCCAGAGTTTTCTTCTGGACTTTGTATTCTTTTCAACTAATCAAAATATCATCTTAGGGGCACTGGCTGGCTCAGTTGGTGGAGCATGGGACGCTTGATCTCGGGTTAATTGAGCCCCACATTGGGTGTAGAGATTACTTAAATGAAATTTTTAAAAATAACCATATTCTTGATTACTTTTGCTTTACCACTAAATTTTGAAATCAGTGTAAGCCCTCTGACTTTGTTCTTAATTTACCAAATGATTTTGGCTATTCTAGGTCCTTTGCATTTTTACATAAATCTTAAGATCCACTTGTTAGATTCTACAAAAAAAAGCCTGCTGAGATTTTGATGGGAATTGTGTTGCATCTGCACATCAGTTTGGGGGAGAACTGCTGTCTTAACAGTTTTGAGTCTTTGAATCCATCAGCATGGCATGCCTGTCTCTCCACTTCTAGATCTCTAATTTATCCAGGGGATCTTTTGTTGCTTTCAGTGTATAGGTCTTTTATAGATAAACTTATGCTTCAGTAATTGCTTTTGATGGTGGAATTCTCTTCAGTCCACAAGGCATATCTTTTCCCATTCTTTTTTATTTTCAACCCATTTATGTCTGAATCCAAAGCATACCTCTTGCAGACAGTATCAGATGTTGCTTTTCTTGTTGCCTGATCCATTCTTATACTGTCTGCCTTTTCACTGGAGTGTTTGGTCCATTGAGGGTTAATACATTATCAGCATGTGTGGATATATGTCTGCCATTTTGCTATTGTTTTTTGTATGTCTTGGGATTTGTTGTTTGTATCTCCTTAACTGTTTTTTGCATTATTTTTAGTGTATCATTTTGCTACAGACTGGATTGTATCCCCTCAAAATTGATAGGTTGAAGCCCTAACCCCCCACATGACTGTATTTGGAGACAGAGCCTTTAGGAGGTAAATGAGGTCATAGGGTGGGACTCTGATCTGATATGGTTAGTGTCCTTATAAGAGACACAGGGCGTGGGGGGGTGGGGGAAGGCACATTGTATTTGTGTCAACAAAACCATAAAACAACAACAAAAAGAGGAGACACCAGAGAGCTCACTCTCCATGCACATGCACTAAGAGATCACATGAGCACACAGAAGATGGCCATCAATGGGCCAGGAAGAGGCCCTTCGTAAACGCCCAGCCAGCCTCCATGACTATGAACAATAAATGTCCACTGGTTAAGCCCCAGCCTGTAGTGTTGTGTTGTGACAGCTGAGCCCACTAACACACGTTTGATTTCTCTGTTGATATTTTACAACGTGTTCTGTTATTTTCTCAGTGACTACCTAGGAATTCCACCGTGCACCCTATCATAATCTACTTCAAGTGAATACTGACTTAACTCAGGTGAAATTCACTGCTCCCTTACAGTTCCTCCCCCGCTTCATGATGTCCTATTAAGTATAACTACATATGCTGTATATAACACATAATAACACATATAGCATTCATAGTATTACAGACCCAGTAACACAGTATCCTCCTAATTACTTCTTTAAAACAATGTCACATTTCTTAAAGATCATAAGAGAAAACAAAGTCACATACACACATTCTTTACTTGTACTGCATTTTTACCATTTCCAGGGTTCCTCCTCCTTCCCATGGATTCAAATTACTGTTGGCTCTTACTTCATTTCAGCCTGAAGCACCATTTTGTTGTAGGGCTTGTCAGCTGGCAGTGGATTCTCAGTCTTCGTCCACCTCTGAATGTCTTCATTTTGTCTGCATCTTGAAGGGTCACTTCACTGGCTATAGAGTTCCTGGCCCCCATTTCTAGCCCTGTGGAGGCTTCCCCCTGCCTCGTGCTCCTTCATTTCTGGTAAGGAGTCAGCCGTAAGTCATGTCATTCTTCTGCGTGTGATGAGTTGCTTTTCTTCTGCCGCTGTAGATTTTCTCTTTGTGCAGGGAGCCCTCTAGCCTTGCCCTCTTTTTCAAGACTGTCTTGTCTCTTGTGCGGATGCGGTGCGCTGGGAGCCTGCTCTGCACCAGCCCAGCTCTCAGCTGTCCCCACCTCACTCTGCGGGCACTCACTCCACACGTGAGTGCTGTCTGCCACCGGAGTCCCATGGCACAGCCTCTCCCTGGCCCTCCCCTCCATCCCTGACTCAACTCTGGGCTGGGGCGGACTCGCCAGGGCCCTGCGGGAGCATGTGGAGCTGCTGCTGTCTGTCACTGGTGGGCTCGCAGCACTGGTGTTAAACGGCTGTGTCGGGGTTCGTCCTCGCTCTCATGAGGTCCGCTGGTCTCAGCTCCTGGGCAGCCTGGGCCCCTTCTTGATGAGCACATTGGAATGAGTCGGGGAGCTATGGGTGTCTCTCTGACCCCGGGCACAGGTCCTCCATTCCCCATGGCCCGGGGCTCCTCCCCATCACCAACCACACCCCATTGCCTGCTTTTGTACCATGTTGCCCCATTCAGAAATGCCCTTGTCCATCTGGCATCACAGGGGATGAGTTTTCCCATGTTCTGGGTAATGCGACTTGCCCTCTTTGGAGATCTTTCTCTTTCTTTCTTTTTTTTTTTTTTTTTTTAAGATTTTATCTATTTATTTGATAGAGACACAGTGAGAGAGGGAACACAAGCAAGGGGAGTGGGAGAGGGAGAAGCAGGCTCCCCGCGGAGCAGGGAGCCCGATGCGGGGCTCGGTCCCAGGACCCTGGGATCATGACCTGAGCCAAAGGCAGACGCTTAACGACTGAGCCCCCCCAGGCGCCCCGAGATCTTTCTAAAGTGCATTCAACAGCACCGCTTCCTTGAACAAGAATTACAGGTGTTGACTTGTGGGCGTCTTGTTGGTAGTGGAGCATCAGTCTGACCACCTGTTTTCAGGTGGGCTGAAGCAGGGGCACACCTCAGCACCCGAGTGCCTGGTCCTGCCATGCTGTTGAGTTCCCACAAGGCCTGGGACGGTTTTCTGCTCCTCAGACCCTGCCGAGTCACGCGGTCCTCCTCGGCTATGTGCGGGGCGCCCACCGTGCTGGGCTCAGGCTCGCACGGCCCCTGTGAGTTGACCTGAGGGCCTCTGCTTCCTCATCTCCGTTGATAACTGTTCTGTCCACAAATTACTGTAAAGAGTAAGACGCTGTTTCAGTCGACCGTAATTGTGTTGAGTATGTAACCCACTATAACTGTCGTGGTTCTGCCCCATGTTAAAATATACTGAGATTTACTTAATCAGTAGTGTGGCCCACAGACCAGGAGGGGCCGCCAAGCAAGGTGAAGTTTTCCGTCTCCTAGAAGCAGGGGCCAGGCTGCCCCACAGGGCCCCACGTGGGATCTCTGGGTCCATCGGGCGGGGGTGGGTGGTCTTCACAGGAAGAGTGGCAGGCAGTGGGATCGACGAGGTTTGGGATTGCTTAGTTGGGGTCATATTAGCAGTTTGCGGGGCAGGGGTAGGCGCTGTCCCGTGTCCGATGCTGGCCTCAGGTGGTTAGGGCAGAGTGTGAAAGGTGGGGGGTGATTCAGAGCACAGGCTCTGGGGGGTCAGATTTCCTGTCAGAGGCGGGTTTACAGACAAATCATTACTCTCTGGGAGTCAGCTAGCCCTGGGAGGGGTGGTCTCTCCAGGATAAGCAAGGCCCCACGGTGTCAGACCATCACAAAATACAGAAAATAAAACACGTGAGACAGTTGGTCTCCCTGATTCTCAGTGATTCTGCAGAGCTTCTGAGGGTCACCTGCACACTCAGGAGTCCTGGGAGCCGCCAATGAGCGGAGTCCTCCTGCGGTCCACACAGCCCAGCGGCACAGAGACGACCCCATTGGCCACTTGGTGCTGTGAAAAGCACTGCCTCTCTCTGATCCAGGTTCTTCAATCACAGAAGGACACATGGAGATCCTAAATGCTGTCCTCCTTTCTTTCCCTGCCATTCTTCTGTTAAAATTCTCCCAAAATCTGGACGCAAAGAGTTCGGGTATTAAACGAGAGTAGTTTTCAAATTTGCTCCCTGCTATGACTAATGCACACCAGGGGCTTTTCACATCTTTAAAGGAAGTTGCTTAGCATGGAGGATGTCAGCAGAAATTCGGGAGTGTAATATCTCACAGTGTGGGTGGAGATGAGGCTAGTCCTGGCACTGAGGCGCTCATCAGAGCTGGAAGCTTCTAGAAGTGCTTTTCCTCCCAGTGGTTCTCAGACTAATGGGAGCCAAGACAGAGTGTAGGGCAGAGTGCAGGTCTCTAAACATTACTGAGTGCCCTCCCTTGCCAGGCCCGCAGCCCAGAGCATGGGGTCAGACTGAGGCTCCGTGGGGCTGAGCAGCCCCACCCCAGCTCTGCTGGTCTGCATGTTCCCTGAGCACCTGCGGCGCATGGGGCACAAAGCCCCGGACGCGAGATGTTCTGCTCCCATCCTGTGGACGCACCTGTCCCGTCGGGAAGGGCATGGAGAACAGTACGTCGGGGATGTGGCAGGGGACAGCCGGGGGCCGTCTGCCTTCCTGGAGCTGCACACGTTCACCTTTTAATCCTGTCCACTGCAGGCAGCATCTCGCGCCTCGGCCCGACGCCCGGTCACAGCAGCGTGTCCCAGGCTCTCCGGTATGATGTCTCACGGCGCCACAGACGTCCCAGTGGGAGGTGTGGGAGCGCCCTGCTCACCACAGATAAGGCTGTGAACCTTAAGGGGATTGCCTTTTAAACCCATTTGTCCGTGTTCTGAGTAAGATGACATCGTGTAGACCACATCACGTTTTGCTTTTTTGAAGCTAAAATGTAACTTAGGCAGTTACCTTGTTACTAAAAACTCCAAAAGAGCCGTTTCTCGGCTACAAGATATCTTTTTTTTTTTATTTAAAGATTTTATTTATTTATTCATGAGAGAGAGAGAGAGAGGCAGAGGGAGAAGCAGGCTCCCAAGGAGCAGGGAGCCTGATGTGGGACTCGATCCCAGGACTCTGGGATCATGACCTGAGCCGAAGGCAGACGCTTAACCATCTGAGCCACCCAGGCGCCCCCTGCTACAAGATATCTTATCACAGGAACAGACTAGGGTCGGCAAACATTTCTGTAAAGGGCAGGTAGTAAATATTCTCCGCTCTGCCATCATGCAGACAAGGTCGTAGAGGTAAGTAGACAAACGGATGCAGCTGTCCCGCTAAAACTCTGTCTACAGAAGCGGGTAGGGCTGGATTCGGCTGCCGTGTGCCAACCCTGAATGGACAATTCCCTTGACTCTTCATCTTTGACACTGGGGGCCCCCATTCTCTGCTGCATATTGGAACCCCCACCGGGGTCTCTACACCAGGCTCTCTGTCGCAGCCCTCCAGGGCAGGTGGTCCCTAAATGTGGACGCCCCCCCCTTACCTAAGCTCCTAATGGCCTTCGATGCTGGTGGGCGAGCACACATTTTGTCCTCTGGGGTAGCCCAGCCACAGCACTCCTCGTCTTCCCCCAGCCCGCCCAGAGCCACGTCTGTGTGCCCTCTGCCCTGATTCCAGAGGCCATCCCCACCCCCCGGGGAGCCGGGCCCTCCCTCCTGGGGGGCACCAGCACAGAGGAGGGTCTGGCTCTGGGCATAAACCTGCTCTCAAGGGGCCTGGTCGATGTGTGTCTGTTGAATTGACTCCTAGGATCCCACTGCTGCCGGTCCCCTGCAAGGCGCTGTCCCCGCCGGCAGCGCCCCTGGCCCCCGGCCGAGCGGGAAGAGGGGGCTCGCCCAGCCTTCGGGGCTCCCAGACGCTGGCCCCCAGGCCGCCCATCAGCATCTCCGCACTGCTGCAGAAGCAGCGTTTAGGCAAGTGTGCCCTGCTTTGAAAAGTGTGTGTGGAGCACGTTTTGTGTATGGGAGGAGTAGACACAAAACATGTTGAATGTTCCTGAGAACTTGCTTCTGAGCTTTGGTGAGTGGTGCTCACGTGTGTGTGCATCTCGGCTCACGGCTCCCGTGCTCTGCAGGGTCTGCTGGCCTCGGGGCAGCCACGCACGGAAGGTGAACGAGGTCCTGCCCGTGTCCGTCCACCTGGGGCTCTCTCGCCACCAGCAGGACGTTACGCAGTAGAAGCAGTCCGTTCTTCTTGATGGAATAAAGTAATACAGTTGAATAAAGTATTTTTCTGATTATCTGGGGCAGCATATATGTGATATGTTTGAAACTTTGCTCTTTTTATTACCTTAAATGTTCCTTAGAACGCCAGTGTTGGCTCGCTGCTGGAAGGCTCGGGGCGTTGGGTGGGTCTGCAGCACGTCGAGCCCCACCTTCTGCACACAGGCCCCCACGGGGGGATGGCCACGGGGTTCAGAACGGCCACGGTCACGTGGGTGCTCACGACTCACATATGCTGTTCGGCAGTGACCGGTCTCCAGAGACGAGTTTTGTGCTTGAGTCCTGCCGGGTGGGTGGGACACACATGCTCTGTTGAGGAGAGCAACTAGTCAAGACCACCCAGGGTTGGAAAGAGGCTTCTCGGGCTAATCATAATCCTTTATGGTGCAACTACCTAAAACTTGTCAAAAAACGTGTTCTTTCACGGAGGTCAGGCTCACAGTGCGGGCAGGTGTATAACAGGACAGGGAGGAGACGACCCCCTTCTGCACCTGGAGAGCCTGAGGCACAGGCAGGTGCCTTGTCAGGTGACATCTGGCCTCCTGCCCCTCTGGCCGGGCCATGTCACACACTGGCCTTTCGGAGGGCCCGAGGCCCCTGTGCGGCTTCCGCGTCCGGCTGGCAGATGCGGGCTGCAGGTGGAGTCTGACGTCTCACAGTGGGGGCGCTTGTGCTGAGTCGGTTCCGTTTCCGGAAAAGTTTCAGTGTTCTAGAATCCCCAGTCCTGGCATGTGTCTCTCTCTGCGAATGTTATGTAAGTGCATGACGCTCTCCAGCATGAGACTGTGGCCAGTCGTGACGTGCAGGCCATCCTCCGGCTCCCACTGCACCTGCAGCAACAGTCTGACGGGTCCGAGCGTGGGCTGACCGCCGTGCTCCTGCTGGGAGACGGGCTTGAAAACTGCCCAGGAGCTTCCCACCGCCGGGGCGCCTGGGCCCGCACACCGCCTGCCTGCCTGGCAGACCTGTCTGCGCCTCGCACAGGTCACCTTGCTGCTCAGACACAAACCTGGACTTCAGGGTTAGCGGCTCGCGTCTTCTTGCTGCTGTTCTGCAGTGTGGAGACGCGAGTCTCGGTGGAGCTTCCATGCGGCAGGTGAGGTGCAGGGCCGTCTGGCGGGGCTGGTGTTCCAGGCTGCTTCTCACCAACATCAGCACATCCGCTGCTTTAACATAATTTTCATTGGAAGGGCAAGATTAAATGAGACATCTGAGTATAGACAGAGGACAGCCCTGGCTGACAAGACCAGGTATGAGCTCAGAACGCTCATCAAGTTCAGCCTTCCCTCGAGGCCTCCGCACAGTGCGAGGCTGAGCGGGGACCCACCGGTCTGCAGCTGAGCACCCGGTGCTGTTCCCAGTGGCTCTGTCAAAGAAAAATCACAAAAATAAGAGGGTTTGACAGGTTAGAGCCGTGAGGACAGCAGTGTGGCGTGGCCCGGAACGGTCGCTGGCGGCTGCCCAGGTCCACTCGGACTTGGGGGGATGTTGCCTAGACTGTGCTGTGGCATGGGGGGGCTGTCACGCGGCCCCCCCAGGGCAGGCGGTTGGGCGCCAGGGGTAGTAACACACCCAGGAACCAGCACATTTGAAAGTTCAAGCTGGGCCTCGGGCCCTTCTCTGGACTGGGCTCTCGTCTTAGCAGGTAGAGCAAACGCCAGCGATGTTCAGGGGCGCGGCGCGACGCCGGGTGCAAAACAGCGACCGCAAGCTTCCCCGGCCCCAGCACCAGGCCCTGTTTTTGTAATGGGTGTGCCTGTTACACCTAACCCGCCTAATAGGATGCCCAGTTGGTGCTAAATAAACATTGGCAGCTTATCTACTATCGTGGTTTTTATTTTGTTTCTCCTCTTGTCTTAATTACAATGTAACACTTACTCAAGCCCCAAGATTGAGACGGAGACGCGTGTTCCCTCGCCAGCCAGCAGGTGCCTGGAACTGGCCCCGCCCCAACCCCCGCCCCTCAGTCCCCCTCCCCCAACTCCGGCCGGGCCCCGCTCTCCCCCGGGCCCCCGCCCCCGCCCCGCGGGCTCAGTCTGTCCTTGGGCAGCGCAGCATCCTCCAGACTGTGTCTCGTCTTTCAGACGCCCCGCCTGTCGGACCCTTTGTTTTGGTTTTAGCAGAACTGGGCTCGCGCGAGCAGCTTCCGAAGCGGGCCGCGCAAGGGGTGGTGAGCGCGCCGGGCCCCGCGGGAGCAGAGCCTCGGGGAGCACGGAGGCCGCTCCCCGCCCTCGGTCCCATGGGGTGCCGCGGACACTGGGCTGGGAAGGACACGCGGGAGGCCCAGCCGCGGAGGGGCCTTGGCCGGGACCCCAGCGAGGCGCGAGGCGCGAGGCGCGAGGGTCCTCAGCCCCTGGCCCCGGAAGGCCCGCGGGGCGGCCCGGAGGCGGATGGAGCTGGAGGGCAGCGGCGGCGGGGAGGGGTGGGGCGGGCGGGAGCGCCGGGCGGGGTCTGGGGGCCTCTCGAGGCGGCCGCGGCTGGGGCTCGGTGTTGGGGGAACCTGCTCACTCCAGAGAAGGGAAGAGGCTGGCGCCTCGGCCCAGGGGACCTCCCCCCACCGTGGGCGCACCTCCAGAAGCGGCAGTTTCCCCAAACCCTGGTGTGTTGGGACCGCTTTCGGTCCAATTCTCTTTTACAATTGCAGTACAGATTTATGCGGTTCCAAAGTCAAATCTGCCCAAAAAGATACCTTTGAAGAGGACCAGCCTCTCAGGCCCACCTGCCCAGGACAGAGCGAGTCTTTTTTTTTTTTTTTTTTAAAGATTTTATTTATTTATTTGATAGAGAGACAGCGAGAGAGGGAACACAAGCAGGGGGAGTGGGAGAGGGAGAAGCAGGCCTCCCACCAAGCAGGGAGCCCGATGCGGGGCTCGACCCCAGGACTCCATGATCATGACCCCAGCCAAAGGCAGACGCTTAACGACTGAGCCACCCAGGCGCCCCCAGAGCAAGTCTTACGGTTCCATTTTTAATACAAGCACCGCAGGATTGCAGTCCCTCTTTTCCTTAGATAAAAACATTTCCCCACCCTGAGTTCTCACGTCCCCACAAGCTCACAGACATCGCGGCCCCTTGCACCCAGGATGGCCTTGCGGGCACTAAGTGCTGGCCCCTCCTCACCCGCCAGCCTCAGAGGTGCTCCGGACACTTCTCAGGAGGAGCCAGCAGCCTCCCGAAGCCTCTGGGCTTCGAAGCACACAGTAGGGCCTTCTCCTCTGGGTGTTCACCATCTCTAAGACAAAGCAGGGGCCATCTGTCAAAAATTTTGTTTTTAGCCATAAAATTTCCATGGATGAGGTGTCGAATTGGATATTAACTTACAGTTGCTGGATGTGTTTTTCCAAAGTGAGAGGATGTCCAACCAGCACCATTTCCCAGCTATGGCCACTGGGAGCTGGGGCCGGGCCCTCCATGGCCTCCCACCCGCTGACTGGCAGGAGTTTTACCAGAAGGAGAATGCGGAAAGCCCCTGGGACCAACAGGAAGACAGAGGAGGACCTGAGCTCAGGAAGAGGCCAGCACAAAGGAAGCAGGTCTGGGTTCTGCAAGCTCCAGGCCCCTCGCCCTGTCCCAGACGCCCCATGGACTGGGAGTTGGGGCTGTGCAGTCAGAGAGGCTAAGCCGACCCTCAGGAGCACAGAGGTCTTTCACGCCCCCACGGCTGTGACATGGAGGGAGGTTTGGAACGCGTTTTCTTTTCAGACGGGAGGAAATTCCTAAAATTCTTAGGTGGTAAATCCAAGTCTGCACCAATTTTGTGTTGCACTTAAGGGAACCGTGGACAGGGGACTTGCATGGTGGGAGGGGGCAGGTGTCCCTTCCTCCACGTGTGCAGATCCTGGAGGCCTTCCAGCTGGAACGTGGCTGACCGGGGGGCAGGCTGGCACCCTCCTGTTGTCAGGGCAAGGAGAGGCCCCAGAGGGATGGCCGCCCTGGCAGACGTCTGCACAGCCACAGATGCTACATCCCAGGAAGCACAGGTCACCCCGTGAGAGGGACAGTGCCATCCGGCAAGGCAGGTGCTTGGATGCCTGGATGCGGGGCCGTTCACCCTGGGGGTGTCCCCGGCTTCCCCTCACCTTTCACACGGAAGAGTCACACAGCGCCCTTCCTTGCCGCACGTGGGCCGCACGTGCACACGCGGTGTGTTCTCACTCCATGTTCTTTCCCTGAGCCACAACCGTGGGCATGTCTCTCAAGGGGAGTGATTTACATCTGGCCTCGTCTGATGCTTGCTGTGGCCAAAGCAGGTGTTCCAGGTGGTAACCTACATCCGTGTCCTTCCAGGGCACACGAGCCACGAGCGCAGCACCCCTCACTGGCGACATGTGTTTACAAACATGTGCACGGGTGTGTGAGGACAGCTTCAGGGGTCTCCTCTCGCTCCAGTGGGTTTCCAGGTGCATAGCTGAGATGCGAGAAGATTCTCTCTGTGGCACAGCCTGGCACTTTGCCTAGACACTTGCTTTAGGAGAGTCAGAGTTAGCAATCCCATCCATACAAATACATCCGTGTCCAGGCCCCACTCCCCCAAGGTTGCAGGAGACTGCCTGGTTGAGGTACCCAAGAGCCTGTTGTCCTGCTGGGCCCCTGGGAGCCCCAATCGAGGATACTCTGAGCTCTCCATGGCACACGACTTTTGCTTTTGTTTTTATTTTTTTAAGATTCTTTATTAAGAGAGAGAGAGAGCATGCGCAAGCAGGGGGAGGGGCAGAGAGAGAGAGAGGATCTCCAGCAGACTCCCCACTGAGCATGGAGCCCAACATGGGGCTCGATCTCACGACCCCAAGATCATGACCTGAACCGAAACCAAGAGTCAGATGCTTAACTGACTGAGCCACCCAGGCGCCCCAGAACTTTTGCTTTTAAATTTCCAACGCGTTACAGAGTGATCAGAAATCCGGGTGAAGCTGCCTCCGTCCTTCAAAGAGAGCTTTGGGGAAAGGGCTGCGGGGCCCGAGTGCTTCTGGTGGTCACTCTGCCCGCCGGCCTCGTGGGCATGGGGCTGGATGCACTCACAGCCCAGGAGACTGAA